ATTCTGATTTCGTAAAGTGACGATCCCAGTCGTTGGAAGACAGACAAATGCAAGAACCCCACAAATTTTTAGAAACAAGTCATAATAGTAGTAACTACATTATGGAAACACCATTCCATGTTTTACCATTTGTAAGCGAGTAAAATTTTATTTGGCTTACTTGATAAGAAGGAACATGCATGATAGTCAGATGATGGATGATGATGATGATGCATCATCATTGAATGTAACCATAGTGATGGATGATGATGCGTCATCAATGAGTGTGGCCATAGTGAGAGTTATGGAGCAATATGAGCTTCAAGCCTTTAGCTGCTGCACTGCTCTCTCCTCTTCCTCCTCCATTGTTTGTTGATTTTTTCTTACAAGCTCGGTTATTGTACCTTTCTCTCAACACGAAATCGTCTAGATGAGTCCAAGTCCGTCCTCTCGCAGTGCTCTCTGTCCACATAAACCTCTCTGAGAACGGATTCACCAGACTCTCGTAGAACTCAAGTGGTGTCTCGCATATTACTCCCTATAATCCAAAACCAAAACGTTATTTATTATACACTACACAGAGTGCTTTGGTTTCAAGATATGGAATCTTGTATGTGGATTTATTTACCTCTGCCATGGCTTTGATCTTGAGAGTTGCATCGTTGCTAAGAAGAACGAGTTTTTCATCAGGGTTACGGTTTCTGTAAAAAAGAGCACACTCTAAAACTTGGTCTTCTGATGTAGGAGAATCGATCTCTGGTGCATAATTGTTCCAGTGAAGTGAAAACGGGAATGCCAATGACTGAGGAGTGACAGGTGGGGTTGGTGCAGTTGCTTTGGTTTCCTCTGATGGGCTCTGGACTTGAATCCACCATTTTGAATTAACCTTACACTCTTCGATCCAGTCCAGAGCTGAAGAAGCAATCTCTGTTCTTCTTCTGAAGAGAAGACTGCGACTGCACTTCACCTCATTTAGTTCCCTTAACACTGATTAATGAAACCAAAAGTTAGGCATGTTTCTAATGATTAAGATTTTCAAAAGTTAATACCAAATAAAAATGGTTCTGAAAGATTTCGTCTGCAAAATGATTTTTTGGCATCATATAAGATTAGAATTTATGTTACTCCAGATCTGTATGGTACATTCATGTGCCATATTCGTTTATAGCCTTGTCAGAAAGAGTAAATGATTTTATGGTTTGTAATTAGTGCTTTAAGTGAGGAAGATAGAAACTATTATCGGTGTATGATATAACTAAACAGAGCCAGAGATCTAAGGTTTGTAGGATGTTTACCTGTTCTTGGTACAACCAGATGTGTCCCCTTGAGACCTTGTAGTAGGTGCAGTGGCTTCTTAGAATCTTTATCGAGGAGTGAAGAAGTGTCCAGCACAATGGTCCACTTTTTCTTGCTCTGTCCATCAGAAAGCATCTAAAGCACAGTGAACTAATGATGAGTATAAGAACTACACAAAGAAACAATAGAGGACAATCGAGTTAAGTAGGGCTTACAGAAGACGAACGAATGCCCCTGGAAATGTTGTTCATCGCTGATGCAGGAGAAGAAGCCTCAGTGTATGACTGACTTTGGGAAGAAGGTTTTTCAAGTAGAGGTTGAAAAGGAGCCCGTTCAGCTTTCTTCTTCAGTGCCACAGGCTCATGCTTCTCCTTAGATTTGCTGGTAATGCTCTGGAGATCTTCTGGTTTCTGTTCTGCCATCACATTTGCTTCCAAATGAATACCAAAGAATGGTTTACGTGATGCTTTAGAGGAGGAGCCTTTTGTACCCTTAATATCACCAAATTCTCGCAAACGTTTTAGCATATGAGAGGTTGGGGTAAGATTCTCTTTATCTGGTGTAAAGATTTCTGGTTCTTTGAATGCCTCTGAAGCAGAAATAGCAATACTGGAATGAACCAGTGGCGAGCATGATTTTCCTGAAAGCTTTGAAGAGCTCTTGCTATCTTTCACGTCACCAATATCTTGTAATCGTTTCAACATATGAGAACTTGGGGTGAGATTCTCCTTGTCAGGAGTAAAGATCTCTGGTTCCAGATTCTCTGCACCATGATGAACAGTCAGAGAAATAGACTTGTCACTTAGAGCCTGTTTTCTATGCAACTTGTCTTTTGGTTGTCTCCCAATTTGCTTTTTCTTTCCTTCACTCTTGTTGGTCCGGATCTGAAGAACAGAAGCAGCTTTTCCCCTCCTAGACCAAATGTTGCCTGCACTTGAGCTATCCATCTCAGATAGTGCATCATCTTTAACAGCATCTATGTTCAAGGTCTGGTTTTCTTGACTTCCAGTATCAACAGAAGGCGGTTCTTCTGTCGTTTTCGCATCTTCAAATGTTTCTTCAGCCAAGGTTGAAGAAATTGGACACCACTTATCAGTATTATCTTCACCCTCTAATTCGCTTAGGCTGTAATATTTTTCAGATCTCCCAGAGCCAATTGACAATTCTGTTTTGGGTTTCTGATTTGGTGTTGACAAGTAACTTAGTGTACCACTCTGTTGGACCTCAGAAAGGCAAGAGCTGCTCCTTTCATCAAATATATTTTCAGTCTCTCGGGTTATTCCTGGTTTTTGATTCTGATCTCCTGCAGAATCCAAATCACTCGAGATCTCAGATGGACCCCCAACTTCATTCTCAGGCATTGGCTGCCAGCTTGAGCATAGACTTTGGATATCTTCGGTATTGTTTCTTAGAAGAAGTTCGTTTCCAGCGAATACACAACCAGATAATGCATTGACTTGTCTTGAACCAACCTTGGTTTCCCCATTGCTTGTATTATGTAGTACGTTCTCACTGTCAGTCTCTATGGCCAATTCACTCTGGACTTCTAGGCCTTGGGCTTCTTCAGTTAAAATTTCTAAAGTTGGCTCAGCTTGAGAGAAGGAATTGGGAGATACTGTGATAACTTGCCTTGAGACCTCATTTTCTCCATTTTCTTTGTAATTCTGGATATCAGCCTGTGCTTCTCCATCGCTTTTTTGATGTAGTAGGTTCTCACTTTCAGACTCTACTGAAACTTCACTTTGGAATGCAGTATCTAAGAGGCTTCGAACTTGGTCAGTTAAAATTCCCAAAGTTGCCTCAGCTTGAGAGAAGCAATTGGGAGATACTGCAATAACTTGCCTTGAGACCTCAGTTTCTCCATTTTCTTCATGACTCCAAATATCAGCCTTAGTAAATGGTTCAGCAGATACTTCTATCACTTCCTTTTTGACAAACACAGTTTCTTCACTGACTTCTCGTTGAATGCTTAGAATCCCAACCTCTGGAACCAACTCGAATGCAGAACAACCTGAGGCTTCATAGCAGCCATCATTCTGTCCCTTACTTGGGGACAAGCAACTACTTGTATTTTCTACATTGGCTTCTAAATTATTTATTTCCAACACTGGTGAAGCCTGAACATCTTCTGTAAGCTGTAGTCTTCCTGCCGCAATATAATTTGTTAGGAGTGGAAGCAATATAATCTCCGTTGCAGCTGGATATGAATCATCCTCCTGGACCTCCTCATTAAGTACTGATGATTCCATCCTCTCTGAGATCACATTCAGGTGAAAACTTCCATCTCCTCTTACATCGCATTCATCAACCTCTGCAGCAACAAAATGTTCTAAACAACCTAATCCCTCCACGTAGCCACCCCTCTGCTGCTTACTTGGGGAGCAGCTGCTACTTGCCTTATCTTCTGAGGCTTCTACAACATCTAAGTTCCACTTTGTTGAATTCTGCAAATCCTCTTTGAATTGAAGCTCTTGTGACTCGACAGAATCTCCAGCTAGTGTCAAAACACTTGGAGACGCAAGTGGCAACGACATCTCCCTTGCTGTAACATATGTATCCTCATCCTCACTAGGGACTGATGATCCAGTTCCTTCGGACGTTACATCCAGATGTAGATCTCCATAATCACTTGATCCAATATTCACTAGTGACTGCAGTAAAGGCAGATTACACTATCAGGCTAAGCAAACAACAACAGATAACTCTAGAGCTAAAGCAATATACGAACAGCCAAAGTTCACTAGTAAGGAACACAAAAGCACGTTTCAAACACAATAAAAGCAAGAAAGACATGAGAGAAGATCAAACCTGATCTTGTTCAGCCTCTAAATTCTCTGGTTCAATCATTCGATTCTCATTTTCTTGCTCCATCACCGCAGACGCATCAAGAGGTGAAACAAACGGATTGTCAAAATCATACGCACGGCTTAACGGAATCCAGTGAAGCATATAGATCCTAGTTGAACCACCAATCCTAATCGTATCACCTTCTTCAACCTCGACACAAACATGTGGCGCAACTCTCTGATCCCTAACCCATGTTCCATGCACTAAATCGAAACAACACAAATCAAATCAACAACCAAATACGCATAGAATCGAGATCCAATTCCACAGAAACAACAATCTAATTGCGGATTAAAACAATCTCGCGAGAGAAATACAAAAATCGTTTAAAATTGGAGTTAAAGATGATTCATATACCAGAGGATAGATCCGTGACGAAGAGTCTCTGACGAGAAGAGATCGATCGGATTTCTAAGTGGAATCTGCTAATGCTAGGATGCGTTAACAGAATATCACAATCTGGATGACGACCGACGACGAGAATCTCCTCTACCTCGTCGTCATCGTCGCTAACAGCGGAACCGTTTCGCTCCGGCGACGAGAAATCGCGACTGTTGACGACGAAGATGTTTTTGAGAATCGCGCCGTTTTTCAGAACGGTGAACACTGGAATCGTCTTCTCCGCCACTCGTTGCTCCTCCTCCATCAGTTTCTCTTCCTTTACCTCCATGGATAGATACCTTCGTAAGATCGAACGAGTAAGAGAGACTATTGAGAGAGATTTCGAAAATTGAAAACGAAGGAAATGAAGAATTCTAGAAGTGTTCTCTCTTTCTCTCTCTATATATCTCTCTCTGATTTTGAAAAAGAGTCCGTTGTTGAATCGACGATCTCTATTTGCTCGTAACGGCTAATTGTGTCATCTCTTACGACTATTTATTCAAATTTTTTAGGTTTGTGTAAACGCATGAATTTAGATTTGAGGTCACCACTATTTATTTTATTTTCTACAATTTTCATGCCTACAAAATTATAGTACCAAGTAAATCAATTTTTTTTAATATTTTTTTTGGATTAAATAATTATTTTTCTTTTTACAATTTAAATCAAACAAATTAATAATTGAACAAATTTGAATTCAGCTTATACATACACGTACTTGATAAATTAAATAAGAGACTGTAATTGACTAATTGTTCAATTCATGGTTTCAAAACTTTACCATAACAAAACCGAAGTTGAGTAATCTGGTTTAATTCGGTTTGATACAATTCACAGTTCACTTGAAAAAACGGAATACATAGAATAGAATAGAGCAGCTTCTACTAAAACCTCAAAACAGTATGTTGCAAAGTGAGAGTATACATAAAAATGTGAGGTATGGTATCATCTATTCCTCCTTGGCACGAGCAAGCCTTGCGCGATGCCTGAGCTCAGCTCTTTTCCATTTTACAATCAGGTAGCAAAGCGAAAACAGTGTGTTTATCTGTCAAAAACACAACACCTCCATCAGATTTATATCCTCGATTTCTCGGTTAATGGCATTGTTGTTCTAACTCAAACATGAAACATATCCTCGATTTATCAATTAATATGAACTGATCAATCAAAGAACTTGGCAACAATTTATTCACTGCTAATAAAGTCCGTTACATGAAACCAGTAGATTCTTATCTAATACTCAAGAGAAAAGAGAGGGGCGTTGCTGAACACATACCAAGATTATCATTGCAATGACCAAAAGTGGTCCAGACCAAAGAACCGATAAGAAGACACCGTGCGGGTCAAAGTAGTTTTGAGTTGAGAAGCTCTTCCAGTTTTTTCTCAACTCCCGGTTGAGATTCTCTGCGAAGTATACCCCACCCACTGCAATTTTTTTGTCATATCATCAGTCTCATTAACATGAACTAACAAATTATACTCAAAACAAATGCAGTAACATCATAATCCAAACTAACAGTTGCTGAGCAGCTTAATGAATCATCATATGTTCCTTCTACCAACCATTGTATCCGAAAAATTTCTAGCATACTAACTCATAAACCCATGCAAATTATATCTCCATATGAACGGTGTGAGTCTCTAAACATGGATCCTATAATAAACCTAATAACTATTATACTCAACAACGCCTAGTACATTTAGTCATAAGTTGGAGTGATGTAAAATACATTTAAGGCTCCCCAAACCCTTGATACAGTATGAATCCCGCAACCTAGCCTAGTGAGATCACTGGATCAGAGAAGGAACTGGTAACAAAGTAACAAAAAAACCTCAGCACTCTAAACAATGGAGGAAACCCATAGGAAGAGATGAATATGATCCAAAATCAAAGAGACTCCTTGTTCAATGATTAACAAAAAAAGGTTTACTACAGAGAAGCGTCTACGGTATAGATAAAGAGGACAGTAATAAGTTCCTTGAACAGCTTCAAAGAGAACTTACATGCTAATAAGAAAAGGAACATATGAAAGTTGAGATGCCTTCGAGAAAGAAGAGTCACTAGTAGCAACAAAGCATGAAACCCCATTAATCCCATAATCCAAGGCTCCTGCCACAAACCAAAACAAAAAATCAAAACTATATGAGTAAACCAAAATCCCAGATGAGAAAAACCCAATGTAGCAACCCGACAATACCGATTTCAAGACTTGTGATTGTAAACTCCTAAAGACCAATTGATATAATACGAAGGATTTGGATTCAAAAACGAAGACAGATTCATTATTACCTTCCAATCAATGGCGTGGAAAAACCCAATGAAATTATCATAAGCGGGTTGTAAACCAGTTCGGAGCTCTCCGGAGAGTTTCTGAACCAGATCCGCCATGAGATCCATTTGTTGCTCCATCGCCGATTTGATTTCCTCCATTGTCTACTCAATTTCACCGGAAAAATATAAATTATGTAATCCCAGTTTCAAATCGCGACGGTGGTGAATCTCAATACTCAAGACACTCTCCAAGTAAACAAGATCACTACTTTTTCTCCTTCGCTTTCAACTCTCGAATTTTCTCAAGATCTCGCCAAGTTTTTTTATCAAGGTTACTTAGCTTTCGCTTATTGCTCTCGAGTTCCCAGAATACCCTTATAGTTATAAGAATTTACAATAATGCCATTGAGATTGTAACAGTAGTACTGTGGTAGTATTACAATAATGCTACTGTAGTATTTGTATTTATTTTTGGACTATTATTCATCGAATAAAAGATGAGACTCCGTTACAATGTTAACAAATCCCTTATGATCCATCTAACGATGACATGATATAGAGAATTATCAACATATCAATCATCAATAATAAGAAAAAACTCAGCACATATGTATTAAGAATGGGTGAGTGGAGGACTTGTTGGTTATTTCAAGATTTGGATGTTGTTATAGGTCGTTGCTTCTTACGGAAGAGGTAGTTTAGGAACAGTCCAAGTAAAGGGAAACCTGTAACCACACCAATGTAACCAAGCAACCATACGGACCGTTTTGTTTGCCGACACAGTGCCTTAAAGCTTCTCTTTGTTACATCTTCCTCAGCCTTTCGTCCTCTCTGCTTCGATGATGCCGTGGTGGTATTGGTGTCTTCTTGCTCGTACTTGACTGCTGCCACCAACCCGTCTTCTGCAATGTTTAGGTACGGGCCTTGGTTTATCAGAGCGTCTTGTTTCCCTGACCCTGAGCTTCTTTTCTCTTCAATCTGCAAAAAAAATGATAATCTTAGGACAGAAGAGTTAAATAATCCAAACTGCAATACTAACAAAGAGAGTTTTACTTTCTGTATATGCATATAACGACTGCAGCTAAGGGCGCCAAGAAACTCATTGGTGGCTCGAACCCACCTGTACGCAACATAAATAGGCAGTCAATGTAGGAAGTACTGTTATTACTTAGTTAGAATCTGGGATATACAGTACCAACCATAAGCTAGATCCAGTTAATCCTTCGAAGAACGCTAGATGTCCCCCGTGATTTGTTGTAGCCAAGATAATGTTTTTGTTTGCCCTTTCAATAGAAACTTCATTGTTAATTGTTGTAACAGGATTTTAAGATTAAATAGAGATAGATGGCGTCTTACCTGCATTCGTCCCAGGGTATAGCTTCCTTTGTGCATAATGGATCATCTAGAGCACTTATACAGAGTAGTGGCACCGCCACATTTCCTATGTATTGGGTACTGCTTGATTTTCGGTAGTACGTATCCACAGTCTGCATAAAGGTGCAACCCGTTGTCACTTTGTCAAATCAACAGGGAACTTAATGGTGATTATGAAGAGCATTGCAAAGATTTATATATTAATGACAAAGCCAATGCTGGGGGAAATAGCATCAGAAGTTAAGAGAATATGGAGGAGAACTAATACCTCGAATTTTCCAACTAGACAAGTAGCATGGTTGTCAAAATCTCGGATGGAACGTGACTGATGAAGTAATCCAGTTGGGCAACAACAGAAAACGTTGATAGCGAAAGAAATAGGTAAGTTTTCGTTATTTTATCAACAACTCTGCTTGTTTCAGTGCATTTACCAAGTAGGTTGTATGATTTATGGATTTGTGGTTACACTACTAACCTTTTTAATTCCTTCCCAGTTAGCAAGCCGTGAATACTGAGGTTCATGCCTGCAACAAAACTAAAAGTTATAACTGAAACCTCATTTTCTCAAAGTAGTATATCTGAAATCTCTCCCCTCAGTCCATCTTACAAACTCAAAATCTAGGCAGTTCTTGATCAAAGTGGTGGACATACAATTGGGCATAACCTTGGAGTCCAACGGTGAGAGCTTTGTCGTAGAGCTTTTGTTTAAATGTCCGACAGATAAACCTGTCACCAATCTTAATGGAAGGAGGAAAAGGAAAAGAAAAAGCATAATGTATCAAGTATCCACTTGTATCAAACAAAGTATTATTTACAAGTTCAAAGGTCTAAAATTAGAACCCAATGATTAGAGCGAACTTAAGACACGAATCAATATACAGAGAAGAATAAAATTAAGAAAAATAACTCACCAAGAGGTCCCATGGAGAGCAAATAGCTACAGCACCCCTCAGAGGAGTCTTTTCACCCTCTTCCCCAAGGTATTTGACCTGAAGCATGAGATACTTTCAGTAATAGTATTTGAAATATCTAAACCGGCAACAAAACCATCACACTTCAACATAATTTAAAGCCAAGATCTGTTTCTCAGCTGGATCAAACTAGAAGAAACCAAAATTGTGAAGCACTGAAGTTCTTGATTAACTACCAGAACATTTGCTCCAATGCTAGTTCCAATAGCAAAGAGAGGAGCCCTCGGGTATTTTTGTTGAAGAAAACCAAGAACCACCCGTATATCCCCTGTCCATCCAGCATTGTAGAAGCGATCCGACTGCAATCATTTGCAACACAATAAGAATGCATATAAGTAAGCACAACGTTTTATAAAACACGAAATCAAAACGCTAGGAGACTATACAACTCACAGTAACAGAAACACCGCCCAATCCTCTATGGTTACTAATAACAACATTCCAACCTGATTTTGCAGTGCTGTAGGCAAGATGCTTCAAATACTACAAAATCACCAATGCAAGTCAACTACAAAATCACCAATGCAAGTCAACTAATATTCACTGTACAAATCACACTCCCAAGGACTTACTGCAGATGAAGAATCACTAGTTAACCCTGGAATAACAATTGCAATAGGCGTTGTATCTTCTTTACCAATCTCACTCTGATTGTGAACAACACCATCAAGAACTACACAAATCAAAAACAGATTCAATATATGCGAAAAAATGGTAATCAAATCAACGTTCTCATTCACTAAATCTAACCATCAGAGTTCATCAGCCAATCCAATGCAATCGTTCCACCATCAGAAGCACGAAATAGCTGTCTGGAGAAACATCAAACTATGAGTGATTTATACAATTTGATACTCAAAATCACAATAAAATCAAAAATCACCTTCTATAGCTGAAAACTGGAGGCAATCCATGAAAATTCAAGAAACAAGTCTGGATATGAGGACTCGCTAACCACGGCGTCGCTACATATCTGATCAAATAAGCGTAAAATCAGAAATCAAATCCACAATTTATCCCAAAATCAAGTGAACACTACTCTCACCGGCCGTGAAGAATCCGACACCGTGAAACAACGCCGTGGTAAAGAGAAGAATCGGGATTGAAAACGAGATTGACGCGGCATCTGAAATATCGAAGAAACGTATCACCAAGGAAGTGAAACTCGACGAAATTGTACAAGAAGATGGTGGTGATAAAGAAGAGAGCGAAGAGGTAGTGACGAATTGGGATGAGGGAGAGAGCATGAAAGAGAAGGTCGTAAGGAGATGGTGATGATAGAATCGGATCTATATCTTCCATTGTTGCAGATCTAGCTATAGGAATTGAGTGAGATTAGAGAAGGAGCTTGAGCTTCGTCGTCATGGTTTAGGCCAACGAACGACAAAAGAGGCGTGGCGGGTTAAGATTTTTTTTTTTGCTTCACGGACTTATTATTATTATTTAATTCATATTTTGAAATTCGCTTTTGTAATGAGTTTTTTAATTACACGCCGACGCTTTCGTGTTCACTAGGAATGGGCACAATTCCCATTTCGTTCTGTTTACGTGTAAACTTCGTTTGTGCTTAAGAGGGATGTGTGTGACATTTGTTTTATACTATTGGTGGGAATGGAATGGTCACAGCGGTTCAACCGGACAAAACCATCTACGAACCGAGCCGTTTTTCATTTACCATTCACTAATTATATTTGTAGTGGTGCGGTCTGAAATAAAAAAACAAGAAAAAAAAAACGCTACAAACCAAGTGCAGATTTTTTCTCATGTACAATTTGTCTTGGTCCAAGATTTGTTGTCTGCCTTAAAAATAGAATAGACAAATCCGCTGATTGATTTGTCCATCCCGACCGCGGTAACCAGTCACACTCATGTTGATCTTGTTGTCCATGTTCGTGTAACTTGTGTAAAGCTACTATGATTATCAAATTTTAGTTGCTTTTCGAATGGTGTTATTAGTATCTAAAATTTGTGTTAAATTCATTAGTTAAGATAATACATTATTTATTCTCCAAATGATCATGTAGTAACTAGTAACGTTTTTTTTTTGTATATGTACACAATACAACTACTACCAACAAGAAGAAGAATAACAATACACAAAGGAAATGCTACAAAAGCCAAACCAATATTACACCCACAAAAATAGTACAAACTCTTGCCATTTTCTGAACCCGAATCATCATCTATGACGGGTTTCAAATTTCGATTGGTATCCCATAGGATTAATCGGCATCATATCATCATTTTGGGGGATAGATAGGATGGTGTTTACCGTCCGTCCAATCCCAGTTATGAACGCTGATGGTGGTGTGTGGACTTAGTTACCTACAAGCTTCGAATGGTGTCCACGCGATCGATTACATCGAGAGCTTTCATGCGATCAATGTCAAAATCAATGATGGGAACAGAGGAAGGTCTTCTGGTTGAGAAAGTATCCTTCTTATAATTCATCATCTCGCCCATCATCGGCGAGTGGCTACTGCTTTTGCTTAGCCTGTGGTGCTTAGAAAGCCTTGTTTTCGCCACCGTTTCAAACTCTTGGCTCTTGCTTATTCCTGGCGTTTTTCTCCTCTTGCTTACGTCTCTAAGCATCTCTTGATCCTCCATAGTCAGCAACGGAGAACCCTGACTTGGGTTGTGTGAACCGCTGGAAAGTTGGATTGTTTTCTGGTTAGGTGATCTGATTGGAGACTTAACCGGAGATCTTAGACCATAACCAGTGGTGGCCCTGACTTGAGTAACGAGATGATGAAGCCACACCACTAACTCTAATATGTAAGCCTCAGTTTTTTCTTTATCTGCATGGTGAAGTGTGTCTATCCTTAGTATTGTTTGACCTGCAGGTCTCTGGTTCGCTTCCGACCTGAAAGTATTTTGCATAATCTAACATTCAGCAAAGAACAATATTGCATGCATATATACACAGCACAAAAAGAGAATAGCCTTAGAATCTGCTTGTATTCAGGGCTTACCCGGAACTTGCCCATTCTCCAACCCATCCAAACCCATGATGCGCTCTGGATGAGAAAAGAAAAGACAGAAGCATAAGTCTGACTTGCTTATTCAAAACTAAGGGGCTTATTTTTCGCAGACTCTTACTTGGTTGTGTTTGTAGCAACAGGAACAAGCCACTGTAACGTTTTTTCCATTTCAGCTTTTATTTGAGGAACAGTTAGCTGGTTCAAAGAAATCAGATGCAGTGTGGTGAGCAGGCATACAAATAACAGGTAGTAAATTCATTTGTCAGCACAAAAGTAATACCTCTTCCTTAATCTGAAAGGACTGTATTCTGGACCGTAAAGCAGATTTTATACTTGGGGGTAAACCTTGGTACAATGCGTCTCTTGTGCTTGCAGGCATAGTACTTGACCGGGATACCTACTCATTGAAATGAGAAAATAACGTAACTTAAATAAATTCCACTAACGGATATAGAAACAAGTTCAATCATTTTGATATTGAATATTAATATTACTAATGAGATCGGGTAACCAATGGATACAAAAACAGACGCTAAAGTAAAACTAAGTGATAAACAGATAATAACTTACAAGAGTATCAATTTGAGTGATGATGTTTGCGTAATGTAAGGCAAGACCAGCAGAGCCCAATTTTTTATGATTGATTGGCGGGTCATTAGCAGGCTTATCAAGATCTGCATATGAGGTAGAATGATCGCGGTTTGTAAGCATATGTTACATTTTAGATACAAGAAAAAAAAAACACATACACATAGTAAATACTCAATCTTCTTGAAAGTTAAAATAAGGCTAAACCGCTTTATCCAATAAGAGACTCACCTGCACCACCAAAGGCTTCATGAATCTCCAAATGCAAGAAATGGACAACATCTACGAGTTTCTCCATTACCTAAGCATTATTAGCATTGTCGAGAATTACCATTGGAGTCCAGATTAACCCAGAAACTTCCTGAAATAGGAAACTAATGATTTCTATGTTTGCAACCCTTACCTCTTCCAAGATCCTAGACCAAAGAGATTTTTTCTTTAAGTTTCTTACATGTTTCTTCTGACTTTTTAGTTCAGTTCTCAAAATAGTAAGTGTATCTCCCACACCTAGCAAAAACAGACGAGAAATAAGAATGATAACCAACAAATAATATAAAATGTAAATATTATCATCCAAAGATATATTTTAGGGAACATATATATTTCTATTCGGTACCTACCTCGTTGTGCTGTGCTTGGGTTCTCTTCTTCCTGGATCTTACGTTGGTAATCTTGTTCAAACCTATCCAGCGCATGGAGTTCGTGATACAAGTCCTGAAACATAAGATATAATCAGAATAAATCGCCATCAAAAGAGTCAAGCAGGACCGAATATCACCAGTTGGCATGAAAAATACGTACAGCTGTAAAATGAACAAATGACATCAGCTGGTGCATTATGGTTTCTGCTTCCTGTTTCAAATGTTTCTGGGGTGTAAATTCAGATCCCAACCTAAATCATAACACAGAACTAATGAAAAGTCAGATACTTCCAAAATGAATAGTCTCATTGTCTAACCATAGTGACAGGATCATGTTGGAACCTGTCAAAGAAGCGATCCAAGTTGTGGTATTGAGGATCCTTGCAACGATTCCCAAAACGCACCACCTCTCCAGAAAAGATCCTCAACTCTTCCCTATTTACAATAAGTAAATCACTTATCTCCAAACTACAAATAGAAACAGCGTAAAAGCATATAGCATCAACACAGAACACTGTCAGAGAATGTTACCTTTTATCCGCAGCAGCAATTCTCAACAATTCATCCATGTCTTTCGATACAAGGTTTTGGACACCTTCTGAAGGTAACACTGCCTCTTTTAAATGTGTGATGCTATCTTTTGAAAGAGAATGCATAAGGTTGGCGCCTTTAACAATGGTGTTAGCAACTTCAAAAGACAAGATTGAGATCTTATTCCCTTTAACTGTCGTCGCAGAAGAAAATCCCCCATTAAGATTCAGATTCGTCATGCTACTCCCGAGTGTATCCAATACATCCACAGCTTTACCAAGTCCCATAGTGCCTGCCCTACCCAAAAGAGAGCTTACTTCCGAAACCTATAAATAGAAACACCTTAGTATAGTATAAAAGAGATAAACTTGGAACTCAGAACTAACCCACAGCAATGCTTAACATTTCTTTACCTTAGCCACAGCAGCCTGCCTAGACTTAGTGGATCTAGATTTCTGCGACAAAACCCTCGATAACCGAGGAATTCCATCCTCGATATTCTGAGGATGAGATCCACCAGAGACTATAGGAAACGAAAACGATTCTGATGTATGCTTATCATCCACATTCTCCCTCAGAGGAGAAGGATCAGCAACTTTCTCTCTACCTTCACCAGACTGAATTTTCACCTCAGACCCATTATTTAAATGACCATTAACATGTGCAAAGCTTCCACCAGGAGCATTATTTACAGAAGAACTCCTCGAACAAAGCCCACCCATCACAGAAAGTTACAACCTTTACTATCGAAATTAGCTCTCAAACTCTCTCGAAGCTCTCCATACACAAGACAGTTCCAAAACTCGATCTCTCCGATTGAACCACTACGAAACCTCAAAAGGATGAACAATGTAACAAGCAAAACACTGCAATCGCAAATCCTGATCCGTATAAGAGCAGCAGTCCATTAATGGAGCAAATTGCTCAGTAAAAGAACATTGATACTCATACAAACCTGCCAATGAATCAAAGTTTTCTAATTTAAGTCAATCCAAAAGAACATCATTCAACAAGTGAAAAACAAATATCGAAAACCCTAGAAACTAAGCTAAAGAACCCAAACGACATATTCAAAATCAGTAACTTCAAAAGAGACCTTAAAGAGTCAAAAACTCGGATCTGGGAATCAGATTGAAGTCAGATTCTTCTTCTTTCTTCACAACTTTGAGCGAAAGAAGTAACAAGTTGTCTCAGCTGAAGAAACGTGAAGATGTCTCTATACAAGCAAAAGAAGAAACGAGACTCGAGAAAGAGAGAGGAGAGAGAGAGAGAGGTTAATTGAATAGAGGAAGAAGAGGAAGAGGAGGTTCTGTTGAGAGAGTTGGAGAGTGTCAGATGGTGAGAGAAGTTAGCCAAAATTAAAAATTAAACCTTTTTCTTCTCGTTTTACCCATTTCTACACTCTTCAAAACTCATCCCCCATTAACTTTATTTATTTTTCTAGTTTTTTTACTAACAAGTTGCTATATATATACAAGTTTAAATTATCATGTATTTCTTTCAAAAAAAAAAAATTATCATGTATTTAAATATTTAACTCTATATATATATCATGTTTAAATTATATTTTTTTCTTAATTAATTTTTTTATATTTAAAATTACGGATTTCCGGTTGAACGGATTTCACTTAAACTTTAGGAATCAAGATAACTTTAACAAAAGAAAATCAAAGATGAAAACACGTCGATTGAAACGTACCAAATGTTGTTATAGTGTCAGTGCGAGTCTTTAAAACTTGTTATGAAAGAATTCACTTTTTGATGATTTTCCGCAATTCTAATTAGTGTCGTAACGGTTTTTACAATGTGTTGTCATCTTTTCGATACGATTAAGATAAATTCTATAATCTGAAATGAATATTTTATTATAATTTTAAGTTTTTTCTCAAATAATCGTTTTAATTTAATATTTTTCAGATGGGAAAACTTTTATTTTAGTGTAATGAAATTTTTTGTTTTAGTGTTGAAATGAAAATTACAAAATGTGTATAAAGTAGTTAATTTTAAAGTAATTTACCATTTTGTACTTTTTGTCGTGTGTGAATGTCTTTGGTAAAATTATTGTTAGATTCTTGAAATAGAAAAAGTGAACAAATCAGTCAACATGTGTATGCATATCTAGTTTTGAAAACGAAAGTTGACTTTTTACCCAATAAAGGACGACAGTATCTAAAGTAGCCTTGCAATTACAATGTTTTTACCAAATTACCTTGTGTGGCAATGTCATAATAAGCTTTATAGCATGGTCATTGGAACCTTGAAAAGGAAAAATAATAATTTGTTTATAATGTTTTCATATCATTTAGTCTTTGTTTTATAAAATGGAATAAGATGGCCCATAGCTTATTTATTACATAAAAGATAAAGCTATGAAATGATTTGGAACTTCAAATGGTATGATTATTTTTTTTTCAATCGAATTTGTATTACTCATTACTCAAAAAGAAAAAATAAATTTTTACTAAAAACATCGAAAAATCGATGCATCAAGTATTTTAATATCAAATTCGTGAGGCAATCACAAACATCTATTGTAAAATATATTACTACTAATCTTAAAAAATTAAGAATGTGTCAATATTTTATGCGGATTTTATCAAATTTTTATAGTTAAAAGGGATTTTTAGTGATAGTAACTAATAAAATAGGCGATATTTTGTGTTTAGACTCTTATCAAAATTTGTATTCTAAGAAGGAAAATAAAGAAAATAAATTTTGAGATTTCAATAGTAGTTTTTCATAACTATGATCCTAGTATCAATGATGAGGAAAGTGAAGTGATTTCTATAGTATTTTAGGTTATTTAACTGCTAAATTAATAAAATACTATAAGATTGGTCAGGGAAGACCATGGCCTCTCTTTTGGACCAATTCCACAATTCAACAAGTTCACATTGGTCAAAATTGCATCTTCTTCTGAGTCATTCTGATGTCTCCATCGCAATATCATACATCATCATGAATATTTTTGATTCCACATTTCAATTATATCATTTTTTTCTCAATTATATTCATTTCGCCCCCACACACTCTTTTCTTTTATCCAAAAAACGCGTTTGAAATTATATTTGATTATGATTAACGTAAAATCTATATAGGGTATTGGAGTTTGATGATCAAACCAAAAATGAGATAAAAAAGATTAGCTTCGTGAGGATCAATGATGGAGATGAGATTTTGATTCACTTAACGTTGAATATGGTGCAGTTTTTGTGATTCTAACATTTTTTTAATTAAATCTTTTTTTTTCGTTGATTTGATGTCTTTAGAATCTTTATTATGTCGATTAATTACAACGTCTCTTTCCCTAATTAATATCTTAATGGCTAAATCAGAAGATATGTTAAAAAAAAAAAAAAAAAAAAGTTTATACGAATTTGCTTTAACACTTTGATTTTTTTTTTTGTCTTAAAACCCAATATACTCGCACGACACGACGTACACGCAACAATATTAGAAGGAATTGAGATCTTAGATTTGTTTCAACCCCAAGAGATATAGACTTCAATGTCATCTTCAAGGTCATATAAAACTAATGGATTTTTCTTAGAACCATTCTACAACTTTGAATATGTATGTATGCATATGATTTATTAATTCAGATGACAATGGTCAATAATAAATATAGCTTTTGTTGTGTTGTGTTCCTAAACAATTACAAACGTATGCGATAAAGTAAAGAAAATTTTGCATTCTAGCACCGTTTCCAAGTTTCATATTACATGTTAACACCTTTTCCGCTACAGACACCTTTTCCTCTTGTTTTTTCTCTTTTCTACCCCTCGACCTCACTAACCAAATACTTCTAATCCTTTTAACTAAACTATATTTCTGTTTCTATCCACCTTTTTATTAGCTGTTTAAAAAAAAAAAAATATTTTCAGTTTCTCTGAGAGTAAAAAACCTAATATCGCCGTTTTCTTTCTCCTTCGACGAATATTTTTTCAGAACTCGTCTAGACGCTTCTATGCCGGTGTTTCATCAGAATTCCATCTGTTGTAACTGTATTCTCCCCTTGGATGCACAATCTCATCCACCCAGGCACAATTGCTCCCGTCTTTAGTCATGTGGTGCATACTCGCAACCGCCGGTATCGTATCGCCGGCAACTGCTCATCAGTATCACTCTTTCTAGTCCCGAATCGCCGGTATCCTAATCTTCGTATCACTCTTTCTAGTCCCGAATCACGTGTCGTCCCCAATTTCACTGTTTTCCAGAACCGATGTCAAGTAACCACCGCATTATTCACTTTTTTAAACCTCTATTTGTTCCTCCTCCGACTTCCAACCAACTCCCAGTTCTAGTTAGTGTTGATCAATCAACTCTCGGTTCTACTTGTTTCTTTAATTTATGTGGTTTGATCACAATACGCCATCGTCTTCCTCTGTTGTTCGTTAGATGACCTCGTATGAATGATAGTCATGAAACATTAACTTTGTGGATAACGATGTGTGGATTATAGTTCTGGACATCTTTTTATGGATTTGTTTGTTAGGAACTCGTTGATCCATATGTACTTGGTTTGTGGACGAGTCCAAGATGCGGAGAAAGTGTTTGATGGTGGGAATATGGTTGATTTGGTTAGTTGGAAATTTGATGATTGATGGGTATGTGGGACATCAGTTTTATACATAAGTTCCTCTTTGTATGGATGAAGAATTATGGATGAAGAATTATGGATGTGGTAATGTGGATGCCTAAACGTGCCTCTTTGTATAAACCAGTTTATGGACTTGATTTTAGGGATATGGAGAATGAAATACTCTATATTCTTGAGAGCCAATTGTAAAAAGAAAACTCATAGATAGACAATGCCTATTTGAATAAAAAATTTTAAAAACAAATTTGTTTGGTTTATGGTGGTTTTTGTGCAAAAACAAATGTCGATTATGGTACCGTATAACTGAAGTCCACAACGTCAAGTCTTTAGCTTCTTCTCATGAGAACAAAAAACTTGAATGTTCAAGACAACAAAAGTCAAAAGACAAAAACACATCCAAAGTACGACATCCATGTGGACAACACTTGGTGAATGAGATGTAAGATATCCATGTAGAAAACACTAGCTTGGTGAATGAGCTTAAGAACAACACAAGAAGTTTTAAGACAATATTTTCTTCATATCGACTTTACAATGTATTAGATGCTTTAATACACAAAACATAGCTAACTCCTAAGAACATAAAACGTTGGCAACGAAACACATTCCCACTACATGTTTGGCCACGTCATCTTCTTCCTCAAGTTTTTAAGGGAAAAAACATTAACCATTCACAAGAACATAAACACATGAAAGCCTTACATTAAAAAACTACAACACAAACATTGTAACTGATGGCCATCCATGATCTTTATCATTAGTTTTCACATCAACTACATCGCATCCACCACATCGTAACCATCGAACTGTTGCCACCGCATCGTAACCATTGAACTGTTGCCACCGCATCGCAGCCACCAAATCACATAAAACTACAACATCCACCACATCGTATCCATCATATCGCATCCACCACATCGTATCCACCGTATCGCATCCACCACATCGCATCACATCCACCGTATCAAATGCACAACAAAAAGTTGAAATCTTGTTTAAGAATCTGGAAAATCAATATAGTTTAAGTAAAAAACCCAGAAAATGAAAGAAGCTCTTATTCTTGTTTCGATAAAGATCTTCTTTCATCGAGGTATTAAATTCCGTTTCACTCAAAGAGAACAAAGCGACGTATGGAGGAATTGATTTTACACAAGGTTTAATTTGTATTGATTCTCTGAAAAATGATTGAAATTGAACTCTAATGTTTTGATTTTTATGATGCAGGAATCATGACCGTTGCATGTGAAGCCGACCGGACTAAGAAACAGAGGAGATATATATATATTTTTTTGGTGGACAGAGGAAATATTTTTGCTCCAGATAAAAATGAAAGAAGAAGATGAAAGATAAACAACTTCAGATCTAGAGAAACAACACATACCTCTGAGTTTTGGTTTGAGAGAGGGACGGAGAGACAAAAGGGAGAGGGTGAGAGAGAAAAAGGGAGACGGAGAGAGAAAGAAAAAGGAAGTGACTTTAGTTGTTCATTTCTCATCTTAATCTCAGGATCATTTCTAGCCACAAGATTCTCAAATATTTAGTTAAGCTTTCAAAAACTTAACTGAGGGTATTTTTGTCAGAAATTGGTATCTACAGTACAAAAGAGAGCAAAAAACGGTGCCACAAACCCAAAGGGTGTTAAACTGAAAGGAAAGACACGTAAACGGTGTCTCTGTGTAACTTTCCCTAAAGTAAATTAGAATAAGTATATACATTAGTACAATACTCTTTAATGTCCAAGCAACGAACCTTCACTGATCCTTGTGGAAGCTGGTCCGGAAGATGTGATCCCCATTGTCTGAAAAGACCGTGTTGCTGACGAAGAGGATGATCGGGTCGCACCTGAAGGAACCAAGATAGATGCGTGGCTTGTGCTCATACTGTTCCCTGAAAACGATACTTCGCTTACGGTCTTTGGACATGGCGGCTTCTTTATTTCGGTGATTCCTTCTAGCATTTGAACTACTTTTCCCATTGTTGGCCTCTGCAATGGCTGCTCTTGTATGCACCAGAAGCTTGTCTTAACCATCCTCCTCACTTGTTCCATGTCAACAGTTTGGTCTTCGCCTAAACGTGTGTCTAGGATTGCCTCGGTGTTGCCCTTTTCAAACTCTTCGTAAGCCCAGATCGAGAATTTCTTGTGGTTTGTCTTCTCCGAGACATCAAAGTTCCTTTTTCCACTGACTATCTCTAGTAGAACCATTCCATAGCTATAGACATCCGATTTTGAAGTTATGGGAAGATTTGCGAGCCATTCAGGAGCTAAATAGCCTCTTGTTCCTCTAACGCTGCTCATGTTGTATCTGTTATCTTTTGGGTTCAAGAGTTTGGCAAGCCCAAAGTCCGAGACTTTGGCAGCGTAATTGTCATCCACAAGAATGTTCTCGGGTTTAATGTCGCAGTGTACAATGCAGTCGCGGCACTCCTCGTGGAGGTACGTTATTCCCTTAGCAGTCCCAAGCGCAATGTTAAACCGATACTCCCAAGTCAAGAACTTCCCTGAATCAGTAGTAAACAGGAAATTATCGAGAGATCCGTTTCTCATGAACTCATAGACGAGAAGCCTGTGTCTTCCCTGGGAGCAAAACCCGATCAGTCTGATTAGATTCAGATGGTGTGTGCTGCTAATAGTAGCAACCTCCATCCTAAACTGCTTTTCTCCTTGTTCAATTCCTTCGAGTTGCTTCACTGCAACCACGGTTCTATTTGTGAGCACGCCTCTATACACAGTTCCAAACCCTCCAGCTCCAAGCTCCTCTTTGAAACTTTTGGTGCATTGTTGAAGCTCCTTATAGGTAAACTGCACAGGTGCACCAGAAGCGTACTCAAGCAAAGTGTAGTGAGACGATAAAGTTCCAAACCGAGGATTCTTTCTGCAGCACCACCACCAGAGACCTACTTCTACTGCAATCAAACCAAGAAGCCCAGCTATTAGACCAACTGCAACAATCCACAAATGCACTTTTGAGTCGTTACCATCGTCTTTTATTGCAACCAAAGGTGTGTTAGGCACAACCGGACCACACACTTTAATATAAGAAGTACTCGGAACAGATGGCCTCTGGTACCCAGTAAAGAAGGAACCAGGTCGTTTCTGCAAACAATTGCCTGACCCATCTGACATTGAGACAGATGCAAGACAAGCACTGCTACTAAGACAATTAGCTCTACAAGGCGAACTACCGGCAAAGAAACTTTCCGAGTTTAAATCGTTTTCATATGTAAAAAAACTCGTGTGAGCCAAATCAAGCATGGTTGCGTTGCCAGAACAATCACTTAGCTCCAATTTCCTCTTGCATCCCTTTCTTCTATCATCCACATCAACAAAATCAAAGTTGAGAGACGGACACGAGCAAATCGGATCAGTATCGTTGTAACTACAAATCCCAAAGTTTCCACAATATCCATAAACAAGACACTGATCAACAGCAGACCAATGAGCCGTCACAGGGCCACTGTTTCCACTCGCAGAACTGTAAATTCTCAAATTCCCATCATCATCTAACTTCAAAAACCTAAACGTATCGCTATCACCATAGTCTCCACTGTAAACAGTGTCAACTCCTCCGATGGACACAACTCCATTAGTCTGTAACCCTAAGCTAGGAGACGAAAGATTCGAGCTAAACGATGAATTGAGTCCATGGTTCCAGTAAATCGTGCTATTGTTCCACCTTAGAGTAAGATTCCCACTTCTCTCTAACTGAAACGAGTAAGGACCAGATCGGAGAACCTTACCGACGGTGAAATTCTGCGATTGGACGATCGTATCCGTCGGATTATCGAAAGAAGACCAAACCGGAACGCTTCGGTTATTGAGGAGAACAAGTTCACCGGAATCTCTAATCGAACCGGAAGTAACACCGAGACGATCGGTTCTAGAATCCCAGACGGTGGCGCCGGAGCCATTGGTAAGGCGGAGAGAGCCGGAACTGAGAAGACGAAGAGATCCTCGTGAGTCAACGGTTCCTGCTGACCATATCGGGACGTTTCCGGCGAAATAAACGGCGGCGAGGAAGGAATTAGGTGAAGAAGATGGAACAAAGGAGACAGAGAAAGTGGAATTGGGAGATGGCCAATTCTGGTTGGAACCGGAGGCGGAAATAACAGAGCCGAGAGGTATGGTAGAGAATGAGAAAGGGAAGTGAAGGAGAAAGAGAAGAAGAAGAAGAAGAGGGAGAGGGAGAAGCTTCTCCGCCATTGTTGTGATTGTGAAGCTTCGTCTCTCTCCTCCTCTGTTGTATTATCAATGAAGACTGAAACGACGACTTCTGTTTTTATCTTTCATTAATAATTTGCTTAATCGTAATTAGTCCTCCAAAGTTGACATTTCAATATAGTATTCAGGGCAAATTTGAACGATTTCAAAAATGTATTTATATATCTCAACTTTTATAACGTCTAAATTTTAATCTGAACTAAACACTTTTTTTACAACTTTTTTTTTCCTATTTTCATGACATTAATCAATATATATACAGTTAAGACGGTTACAGTTATATACAATTACGGTTAAAGTTATTTAATGATTATTATAATATTAATATTGGAGATAAAATCTAATGAAATATTATTTATTTTACAAGTAAAAAATATATGTGATTTCAAATATTTATAGTGAATTACTAAATTTGGGTATTACATCGAAACTGAGAAACTCAACATCAAATACACACGGAAATAAAAATAAAAATAGTTTAGTATGAAATGTTTGATTACTTACAAGTTCAATTTGTTGTGTTCCTTTTAATAAAGTGAAAATTTGATGTGTCTTTTCATTGTATACAATTATAATATAATTTATTTTAAGGATTTAAATATGCTGTTAACCGAACGTTTAACCGTACAGTTAACCGGTAGTTTATTATGGTTACGACTAATATTTTTTTAACCGTAACTAATTTACTTGTACGGTTAATACTTACGATTTTGAACCGTTTTATACGGTTACAATCCGGTTATGGTAATTTTGACAATACTTCCAGAATCGCGTTACTAAACGCTAGAGCCTAAAATGGCGTTTAGCGTTTGTCTCCGATCTCATACAAGAACTAATCTCCCCTGAATCGAAAAACAGTGAGATCATCTTTTATCTTTAAGCAACGATGGTCCCTAAGATCACATCAATGGCGTCAACTAGACCTCTCTGTTCAATTCCTTACTTACTCCTATCTTTATCCCTCCTCTTCGTGGTCTCGCTTCTCTTCTTCTTCTCCAATTCCTTAATCTCCGACCCGAATCAGAAGATTTCACATATTACTCTCCAAAACGGCATCAATGTCTTTGTAGCTGAGCTTCCAAGATCTCTTAACTATGGTCTTCTCGAGAACTACTGGTCCTCTTCTTCTCCAGATTCACGCATACCCACCGACCCGGATCACCCGACCCGTAAAACCCATTTACCCAAACCCGATACATACCCACCGTACCCGGAGAATCCACTGATTAAGCAGTACAGCGCCGAGTATTGGATCATGGGAGACCTTGAAACCTCACCGGAGAAACGAATTGGATCTTTTGCTAAAAGGGTATTTACTGAATCTGACGCTGATGTAGTGTTCGTACCCTTCTTTGCGACGTTGAGTGCTGAGATGGAGCTTGGAAATGGCAAAGGTTCGTTTAGGAAGAAGTCTGGAAACGAAGATTATCAAAGGCAGAGACAAGTTCTTGATTTTGTCAAGAACACTAAAGCTTGGAAACGATCCAATGGTCGTGATCACGTTTTTGTTCTTACTGGTACTAAAGTTTCTCTCTTTTTTTTATCGTTGGAACTTGTTTGTACTCAATTTGACAAATCTGGATCTTTATAAGTATAGATTTGAGTATAGTGTCTTTGAAGTTTGTCATGTGGGTGTGATGGTGGTGTCTGTAGATTTGGTTTAGAAGCTTATATAAGTTATATGTGTGGATTGTGTGTCAGGTTAAGTTAAAATGTTGAAGCGTTCTTTGGCAGACCCAGTTGCAATGTGGCATGTTCGTGAGGAGATTGCTTTATCGATTCTTCTGGTGGTGGATTTTGGAGGCTGGTTTAGGCAAGATTCTAAATCATCCAATGGGACTAGCTTGCCTGAGAGGATAGAGCATACTCAAGTCTCTGTCATTAAGGATGTGATAGTTCCATACACGCATCTACTTCCTAGACTAGATTTGTCTCAGAACTTGAGACGTCACAGCCTTCTTTATTTCAAAGGCGCTAAGCACAGACATCGGGTAATCACTTTTGCAAAACTCGCTTCTTTATTTTGAGTCGTTAAATTGCTTTATGCAGAGACTCTCATGGCTCATAAGGTATCTTTTATAGCCTAAATGTATTGTTGTTGTGGAAATTTTAGTATTGCCCAATCTTGGAAAGACTTATTGCAAACAGTCACGTTTGTGTTTACAATTTGCAAACAAGTATATATAACATATTTCACATGTAAATGTAAACATAGAGATGGGCATTTGAAACAATGGGAACCTCATTCGAGTAGATTAGTCTTATGCCTTCATAGCAAAATGGTCTGTTCTCTATCAAGTTGTTTGGTGTCAAGATCTCTAAAACAATTAGTATAATTTTAACTTTACAGGGAGGGTTAATCAGAGAAAAGCTATGGGACTTGCTGGTTGAAGAACCAGGCGTTGTCATGGAAGAAGGTTTTCCTAATGCAACAGGGAGGGAACAATCGATAAGAGGAATGAGAAACTCAGAGTTCTGCTTGCATCCAGCTGGTGATACTCCCACTTCATGCCGTCTATTTGACGCAATTCAAAGCCTCTGCATCCCTGTGATTGTCAGTGACACCATAGAGCTCCCATTTGAGGGAATAATCGATTACTCAGAATTCTCAGTCTTTGTCTCTGTAAGTGATGCATTAACACCTAAATGGTTGGCTAATCATCTCAGAAAGTTCTCTGAGAGAGAGAAAGAAACATTCAGAAGTAGAATGGCAAAGGTTCAGACAGTTTTTGTGTATGATAATGGTCAAGCCAATGGGATCGGACCGATTGAACCCGATGGTGCGGTGAATCACATATGGAAGAAGGTTCAGGAGAAGGTTCCAATGGTGAAGGAAGCAGTGATTAGGGAAAGGAGAAAACCAGCAGGTGCTTCTGTTCCTCTTCGATGTCAATGTATCTGAATCATACAACCAAGTCCAAAAGAAGAAAGTGTTTTTTTTTTATTGCCTATTTTTTTTTTGTTCACGATCATCATTTATAGCGTTTGGCAATCAATACAAAATTATATCTATATTAACATTTTTGAAGTACCTTTTGTGTTCTACCCTTTTATTTTGTAATATTTGCATAATTAAACCCTTGCCATTTGATTAAATAGAAAAAGTTTAAGATAAATTTTGTAATTAAATCATAATAAATTTGCAAAATTAGAAATCAATATTTATTACATTTGACAAAATTTCCTAAAATCTCTCTCTCATAAATCAAAAATTTCTCCAACATCTTTATATGATTTTATTTGTTTTTAAATTTATATTATTACATAAACATATGTATAATAAAAATATAATTTTTTTTGCATATGTTGCAATTTGAATTTTTAGAAATGGATGTATATTACTCAAATGATACAAAAATGTATGTACTAAAGTATTATTGATAATTGTGTAGCACGGGTCATGTGATGGAACGGGTTATAATTTACATAATTATGATTATAGATATTTTTACGGGTTGTCTACTATAATCATAAAATTGACAATCAAAATATAGTAGTACACTCTTATATACCAAACAAAAAAATATATATATATTTTAGAATGTCGTCCCGCGGTGTACCGCGGGTTAAAATCTAGTAAACGATTTTAAAACCTATAACCATATTTTTCGAGGTGAGTTCGAGACAGTGGTTATGTTATTGATTTGTTCGATTAGGTTTTGTTACCGTAATAACGAAAATTTCCCTACTTACGTAACGAATGGGTTTATACCTAAAGAAAACAAATTATACTATGAGTTGACGTTTACTTGGAAAGAGTATTGAAATGATACGAAAAGTGAGAAAGTATTACCATATTTGTCTTGTTCTCGAACTGATGAAGACTTAGCCATGCCCATGCATGTGTTGTTGAATAGTCAGCATTTTCTTCGAATTGATTGGCCACTAAGAAATGAGGAAACTACCAAACATCTAGCTCCCACTCTTCATTCTCATCCATAAACAACAACAAAGAAGCATGTCTCTCGTTGACCCAAAAAAAAGAAAAGAAAAAGAAGTATGCCTCTCAAAAAAATCTCCTCAGTTTCTCTTCTCTTAATCTTTGGTTTCTACTATGAAACTGCCAAGTCGCAGTTCTGCGGCTGTTCCCCAGTTCTCTGCTGCAGTATGTATGGGTATTGCGGTTTCACCGAAGGTTATTGTGGCTCCGGTTGCAAAGAAGGTCCTTGCCGAATAACTAAAATTGTGACACAAAAATTCTTTGACGGAATTATTAGCAATGCAAGTAATGGCTGCGCTGGGAAAAAGTTTTACACCCGTGACTCTTTCATTGAGGCCGCTCGGACTAACTTGGAGTTCAATACGTCTGTCACCAGGCTTGAGATTGCTACCATGTTTGCTCATTTCACCTACGAGACCCAACGTACGTAAGAGCTAGTTCTTTTCATTGGTTCTCTTTTCTCTTTCCTTTTTTTTTCGATATACCAAAATATTTAAACTTGACTCTGATTCAGAATCGCGGCTAGGTATTGAGTTTCATTTGTATATTGATCACTAGTAAATTCTTGAACTATCTACGGTTATTTACATATTCACTCAAACAGTCAAACTAATAATGTTCTATGTATCAAAAATATAATTTCTTTATTTTTTTTTGCTCTTTAAGTCAAGTATTAATCTCAACTGGTACCAATTAGGTTCATAGGTTTTGCCACAATTCATATTTTTCTGTTCTCGGTTAGTTTCGGTTAGGGTATTTTGCCAGAACTACAAAAAACTAATGTCTAGCTAGGTCTAAAAAATGTATTTTTTTTTTTCTGAAACAGAAAATGTTTTATTTTATTTTTAAACCAAATATTAATATATCTCAATTGGTACCACTTAACTTGATCTAATTTTCCACATTTTTTTAGATTTCTGCAAGATAGAAGAGGTTAACGGAAGTTCATATGACTACTGCGACGAGAACAACTTGCAATATCCATGTGCACAGGGAAAAAAATACTATGGTCGTGGTCCGATGCAACTATCATGGAATTACAACTACGGGTCATGTGGCCAGAGTCTCGGACTTGACCTCTTACGCGAGCCTGAGCTAGTGGGTAGCAACCCAACTGTGGCTTTCAGGGCAAGTCTGTGGTTTTGGATGAACAACGTGAGGCCCGTACTGGATCAAGGATTTGTAGCCACCATTAAAGCCATCAATAGTCTGGAGTTGAGCAGTGAGGATCAAAGTGCGGTCTCGGCAAGGGTTGAGTACTATACAAACTATTGTAAACAGCTTGGTGTAGACCCTGGTACCACATTCTTCATTTCTCCTCTGTTTTATCTGTTTTTCGTTACTGTTTTTAAGTTTCCTTTTGAATCATTATATAAAAAAGTGTCCTCTGATATTTTAGTTTTGCGACATAAAACTGCAGGCATCATTGATCTTCCCAGTCGCCTCACCGTCTTCACTCTTAAGAACAAATGCTCCCACACCGTCTGGGCCGCAACTCTCGCCGGCAGAGGACCCAGGCTCGGCGGTGGCGGGTTTAAATTGACCTCAGGCGCTTCCCAAAAGCTCCAGGCTCCTGCAGGATGGTCAGGCCGGTTCTGGGCTCGTACGGGATGCAAGTTTGACGCATCAGGAAATGGTAGATGCATTACCGGAGACTGCGGCGGTCTACGATGTAACGGCGGCGCAGTTCCTCCTGTCACTCTTGCTGAATTCACCCTCGTAGGCGATGGCGGCAAGGATTTCTACGACGTGAGCCTCGTCGACGGTTACAATGTCAAGCTAGGGATAAGACCTTACGGAGGGTATGGAGACTGTAGGTACGCAGGCTGTATCACCGACCTAAACGCGAACTGCCCTAACGAGCTTAAGGTCATGGGTCCTCAGAACAATGTCGTGGCGTGCAAGAGTGCATGTGCAGTGTTTAACACTGATCAATATTGTTGCCGTGGAGCTTTCAATACGCCTGAAACTTGTCCTCCCACGAACTACTCGAGGATTTTTAAGGAAGCTTGCCCTATCGCCTATAGCTACGCTTATGACGACCAGACGAACACCTTCACTTGTTCCCGAGCTAACTACGAAATCACTTTCTGCCCATAAAACCGAATCTCCAGTGTAGGGCGATGTTTATATATAATTGTACTTGTTTAGCCCCTAAGATATTAGCAATAAAGATAACCAGCTTGCTCATGGGGTGAAGTTTATCTAAATTACATATTAGTGGTTGTATTCATTTTTTTTAATGGTATGGAAAAGATAAAAATTACATGTTTTTTTGTTACCTAAATTACATCTTTTTTTTTTTTAATGTGTCTAACAAACTAACAACCTTAAACATTAGTACATCACTTAAAATGAATCAGAGATAATATAGTAATAATTAATGTTCCTTTTAAACATAAATAAATGTTTTTTTTCTTAACATTCCGAATATCATTTTTTTTTCTCATCTTTAGATTTATTAATTACTGCATATTATGTGAACTTTTACATAGATAGTTATATCATGGACAATCCTGTTCGACCCAACTAGATCCACTATTGATTACACTCCATGTTAATTTTGAATACCACCTTCTCCTTGCTTAATCCAATGCTGATTTTGAATAGCTCATTTTTTTTGATGATCTTGGACACATTCTTCTCTTTCAATAGCTAGAATCCCGGCGAACGGCTCTAATTGCGCATCACGTAGATTTCCTATGAACTTGCATCTTTTAATCTGTATAATTGTTAATAAATCGCAGTATTGGGACTCCAACCTTGGATCTCTTGGTGTAGAAGCATTACCATACCTTTAATCAACACGACTAGGATAAGGGGCTTCCGCTCTTAATATTATTTATGTTATTTCAACTTTGTTTTAATAAAAAACATATTTTTAGATAATTTAAACATATTAAAATTATGATATTCTGTTCCCAAAGTCTTAGTTATATTCCATCCAACCTAAATATTTTGCATAGTGTGTACGTACCCATTCATCTCCTTAGTTCTACTCGGTAGTAAAGGATGGTTGCTGCCTGGTATAATCTTTTTTTCTTATAGTATACTTTGTAGTATTCTATCAGCATATATCTGATCCATCTCCTTTTGAATAAGCTGATCTCAATACATCAACTAACTTAAGTTCAAAAATTTCAAAAACAAGTTCTATGGCATTTATCCACATTGAACAACGTAACTATTTCGCGCGAATGATCAATGGTAAATAACATCAAAATCTAATTTGGATTTTATCAACAAAGCGGTAAGGAGATCGCAAGATCTTACTTGCTGGTCGTGGTTTAGTAAGATCTTAAGCTATCTTGATTCTCTTTTACGATTTCTTGAACTGATTCTTCAGAACTGTCTGAAGTATCTTGACTTGCACTTGGAGTCTCTTCAATCCTATCAAAAGTATTTTGAACTGTAACGGCGGGTAAAGATAAAAGAGGTTTAGGTGGAATCTGCAGAGACTCTAGACTCCCTTCTAACATTTCAACTACTTTGCTCATTGGTGGACGATCAAATGGATTGGTCTGAATACACCACAAACCCACCAATACCATTTTCTTTACTATCTTCTCATCTTCTTCTTCTGTTATTTGATCTGCCAAAAAGCTCATGATTTCTCCCTTCTCAAGATCTTTATAAATCCAATCTGGGAAATACATTGAAGTGTCGTTGGATCCAGCTTTTTGTACTTTGTCTATACACCTCGCGCCAATCATCTCAAGAACCACCATACCATAACTGTACACATCCGACTTATGAGAAACTGCTCCAAAACTTTTGGAAAATACTTCTGGGGCTATGTACCCGGCCGTGCCTCTCGCTTCTATCATTGACATGATGCTTTCATTATTCTTGGACAACTTAGCAAGACCAAAATCTGAGATCTTGGGGCAAGAATCTCCGGCGATGAGTATGTTTTGCGGCTTTATATCAAAATGCACAATCCTTGATATACAACGGTTGTGCAAGTACTCCAGGCCATGAGACACACCTACCGCAATGTTAAATAACGTTTTCCATTCCATCTTCGCTGACATCTCCTCGGAGATGAACTTGTCGAGTGATCCATTAGGCACAAACTCATATATTATAGCTTTCTTGTTCCCTTCATAGCAGAATCCAAGTAGAGAAACAATATTAACATGAGATGTTCTGCTCATACTAGCCACTTCATTGATGAACTCTTCCCCATTCCCATTTGACTCCTTTAAGATTTTCACTGCAATATCTCGGCTGCCGTCAGGTAATTTCCCTCTATAGACAGTTCCAAATCCTCCTCTTCCAAGAACATTTGCGAATGATTTTGTCATCCTCTTGACTTGTGAATAACTATATCGTTTCAACATTACAATTTCTTCGATGCTTTTCCCACTCGGATCACTCTTTTTCATATTATATACTCTCGCCGTTACCACCACCGCAATAATGATCATCAAAGCTAAAACTGATGAAACTCCTAGAAGAGAACAAGCATCAAAAGTTATATTATTATACACATAAGAAGTTAATATAATGAATAAGACATTTGATAGTAATAACTAATACACACGGTTGAAGTGTACCTAGTATGAGTTTTAACTTCCATAGTTTGGCTACCCTGCGCAAAATATTTTTTTAAAAAAATCGTGTTATAAGTTTCTTATTATTTTCGTTATTAAATTTATTTTAAACAAAAATTTCACACAAAAATTAACGTTTTAACATGTAAAGGCATAAGCAACTAATTCACTTGCCTTTGCTTTTGGCCGGTCCTCAATGGAGGTTTTTCTACTGATACTACAAACAAAGATTTCCATTGGATCAACAAAATGAAAGAAATATTAGTATTCATTTCTGCAAAGATAACTGCATAAAGTAATGTTTCTTCGATCCTTCCCGGGTATTTTTGAGATGGCGAGGGAGTTTAAATATATAGATATTTCCATCGAACATCGATCTATATATATACTTATAGGTATTTTATATGTTGAGATACCATGAGAGATTATCCTTTGCTAAAGTGTCATATACCAATATACATAGAACGATACTTGAGTTCACCCCTAGTCGTTATCCATTTATAAGTAGCAAACTCGTTTGCATTGTACAAACCTATTAACCCTCTTAATGGAATTCACATTTGTGAAAATATATGTATGATGTTTTCCGTTTTTCCAACATCATATCATATCAAATTTTAATAAGGATGTGACTCAATATAAACCACTAGATAGTATGAGTGATCGATGGCTTCCCAATAACCGGATAACGTATATAGAGAGTTAGAGACGAGTGGAGGTGAATTAACCTGGTTTCGTTAGGCTAGTCGGGCAAAACGTGACGACAAAATTGGAGGAGCTAGGACAAGTGAAAGTGCTGATCTTATTGTCGTAGGCGTAACTATATGCACCTGGGCACGTCTGGTTTAAAGTCTCCGAGTAGATCGTCCGTTTGCATTCTTTCGAATCAACGACACTTTTTTCACCCACGTAGGGTCTGACACAACAAAGATCCGGCAAAGGGTTCTTCTGACACGAGGTCCTGCAGGCATACGGATCTTTCGATCCCGTATCGTTACTGTATAACCTCAGCTCCGATGGACACGTCTTGTTCAACTCAACAACACATCCGATGCTTTGGCACTTTTCTTCCTCAGGGGTCACTAGCAAAGGAAGATTGTAACCATTCATGACGTTGACGTCGTAATAGTCATCACCATCGTCATAAGCTAGGTTAAACTCCGCTAATGTTGCCGGCAGGCCAGGATCTAGAAGGGGTAAAAGTAAAAGCCAATGGACCATATATCCCAAATTTTAGAAAAAAACACCGTCCAAAAGAAAATTTATGAAAAGGGTCTGTAAATTTAGTTTACCTAAGGTAAAATTTGTTTTTGAGATGGTACTGTTTTCCATATGAGGAACGGAGCATTCGATTTGGCCTGAGTTGCAGTCTCCGGTTACACATGAGAATCCACCTGATGTGTTGGTCGTACAGAGTGTCCTACCCCATATATAACCAATCCATGGCGATGTCACGTTGATGGTACGCTGCGTATATCCCTTCTCCAGAAGGAATCCAGTTGTTTGCAGCTCTCCGACGTAGGTGTAGCTTGCAGGCCAAACAGGGTATTCGCATTTGTTTTCCATTGTAATGGTTCTTGACATCGCTACAAATAACAAAAAAACCATTAACAAATTGTGATGAATTGAAGCTATAGTCAAAATTGGAAAACGTACCCGTGACCAATAGATTTGAAACAAGGAGGAAGAGCAACGCCATCTACTTGAAAGATGGAAGTGCTTGCAAAAAGAGTTAATATTGTTAATACATGAAAATGATCTACCTCTACCGTGAAGTCTCATGGAAACTATGTGGAAGATGTTAAAAGTGATTAGTAAGTCAACAATTAGAACTAATCACAAAATTTACTTTTTATGCATGTGTTTTGTTTTCATTGTGTTTAGTTATGATATATAAGGAAATTAAGATCGAATTAGTTAACGCTTCAATCTTAAGAGAAGTCTAATTCTTCATAACTTCGTTTTTGATTAGTCTTGAATGAGAATGAATCTACAAAATCACAATTAAACTTTACTAACAAATGTGAATGTAAGTCAAAGTCTTTTCAGTCAACAAGTCAACATTGAAAATGATTTTTTAGACATCAAAAACACCTAAAGTCATAACGCGCTCACTTTGCCAATTCACCAGCTTGAACTTACCACAACCACAAACAAATATGAAAACAAAAAGCCAATTCAGAATTGTAAAGCATTAAGGGCTACAAACGTTTCCAATGTACAAATCGACAAACGTACGTATCCAATGGGTTTGTCGTTCTGTAGTTTCCTTATGTTTGTATCATATGTGAGAAGTTTTCAAGCTGATGTAATTCTAATCCTAAGCTGGTTAGAAATTTTAACTAACGTGGTATCACTTCTTTTTTTGATAAACCCCCGGTAGAAACGCACCAGAGTGCTTCAGAGTGTACTACTCCCCAAATGGCCACCACACTGTCTGTCCCGAGTTTGGAATGTTTTTCTGACTACCAGGTAAACCAACTGGGCCTTAGCCCAATTGACAAACTTCCCACACAACAATGATTTTTGTTTCCAGGGTGGATCAAATCTGGGTTAGTTCCTTCCAATCTTTCCCCAATCCCCCTTTACCACTGGAAAATGCGGCTGTGTGGGCTACGTGGTATCACTTCTGAGTAGCACTTATACTTAGCTGCTTAACAATACTTTTCTCCAAAACTAAATACATGGAGTCATAACTATGGGAGGTCAAAAATGGGTAAAATCCAATTTAACCCGAGCAACATCCCATATGGATTCAATATTTTGACGGGGGAGTTTAACAAGAGCCGGCCCAAAAGCCAAGCCTATAAATCATGTTTTTGCGGCCCTGTATTTTATAGTTAATTTTTCGTTTTTATTTTTATTTTAGACAATATCTCTTTAGTTTAATGGTATTGATCTTGCTTTTAGGGTACAAATATTCCAATTTGATCCTTAATAGTAATCTTTTTAATAATTAATCTGCTTTAGCTTTTTTTTTTTTTTTTTCTATTTAATGAAAATAGCCAATTTATTCACTTGCTTGTAGCCTTCAAAAACTTAGAGTTGCCTTTGAGTTGAACTTACCCAAGGCACAAACGAAATGTCAGTTTTCCATGAGGTTGGGATCTAATGTTATTGATTTGCTTGAATAACTTTGGTTATTGGATTGTTCGATTAAACTGATTTGATTGTTTGATTTTGCTTTCTAGATTCATTTTCAATATAACTTATCGATCATGGACTGAAAGTTATAGCAGTTAGGCTAGTGACTTGAAGTTACAAAACATTAGAGGATAATATTCAAAGTAGAATTTTAAGTGATTTTGATATTTTGACAAACAATGTAACAATAATCACTTCTTTTTCTTTCTTATACAAAAACAATACTTTCAAATGCCTTTTCACTTGCATGTATCTGTCTTTCAATGAAATTGGATAAAAGACAAAAGACAGAGACAATCCAATCAATAAAATCTACCCCATAAGCTTGCTAAAAAAACTGCACAATCACAGGGGTAGATGCAATACTGGACTTGTCTCTATATACAAGTGAAGTTCAATCAAATAAAAGAATCATATAATAGAATATATATATATTTTTTCTTTCTTTTTTTGGTCAAAATAAATTATATATAGATATATGAGAAAGATATAGACCGGGTAGAGATAATCAAAACATCTTCTGTTTCCAAAGCTACTAATCATATTTGCTTTATGTCTTCAAGAGTCTTCTCCTTCCTCGCACCACTGATCTGGAACGCATAAGAAATGCGTCTTCATGAACTTCCTGAACCTCGTCTTGTAATCGATCGGGCTGATCACTGTCGGCTGCACATTCTTTGGTACCACCAGAGACGATTTCACCCATGTCTCTAGCTGCTTGTCCCATGTGTATTGTCTGAGATAGTCAATGATCCCACACACTAGCTCATGATTCTCATCATCAACTCCAACTAGCAAAGAGTAGTCCATCACGTTTATGCTCTGCGATTCGTTTACACAATAGACTATATGAGCATATATGACAAAGTGTACTGATAGAGAAAAGAGATATGACAAAAGAAAACTCACAGTTAGGAAGCTGGTGTCGTTGTAAACCGCTCTTTGGAGATTTTGTTTCGATGTTTTGCTAACGTAAAGCGGGGATTTGTTCATGTCATTGACAAAGTTCTGATCCAATAGAACATCGTCTGCGCCATTAGCAGTAGTGGCTGTAAACCGAGCGTGCAGAGCGCCTTTGAGATCGTACTGGCGAGTGATTTTTCTGCCAAAGCTAAGATTCTCCATGACCATGAGGTCGTGCCGTATCTCTTTCCCGCCACCCTTTGGCTGCCTTACAGTTACCTGGAAATAACAATCAATCAAAGATCCTTCAAACTAAAGCCCTATTTAAAAGTTATAACGGTCGTATTATCAAAAACTGATTCTAGAGACATTACCTGATGAATCCCAAGAACTTTGGCAAGACAAGTTTGGTTGCCTAGATCATAAGAGTCCTTCATGTATTTGAAATACTCTGGAGCAAATGTCACAAATGATTCGTACTCTGTCTTCTTGATCTCTTTTACGATGAACCTGTCATCCAAAGTCTTAGCGAACACGGATTTGCTCTTACCACCCTTAGCATCCCATGGCTTACAGCGACTTAGTGAAGCTATATAATCGAGCTCTGATGAGCAACACCGTGTTCTGAGTTCGCGGAAATCCTCTGCATATAGGGACACTATAGAGTATTTGGGTTTTCCAATTGATTTTAGTGACCCAAAATTAACAATGACCTCTGGAGGGGGTAATGTTTCCAACCGATTTGTACTCTCACTCGAGTAACGGGAAACCTCACGTTCAGCAGTTTGCTTGGGATCTTGATCTTTATCCAAGAACCCTTGAAGAGACCCATGTATACACCTTGCTAGAGGCTGTCTGTTCTCATCAGTGTACAGGTGGGCAAGCGCACAAGCAATTAGGCTGGAGAGCTCGTCTTCATAGTCTGAGACAATAAAATCATCATCCCTTAAAGAGATGCGTAGACGAGAACCTTCCTCAGTGATTATCTGATTCACCGTCTGCAGGTTTTCTTGGGTGAAATTGTTTACATACTCAAACTTTAACAAGTATTCCTTCTCAATATCGACAACGCTCTTCGTGCGTAGCTCTTCAAATGGCAACCAAAACCATTCATCCCAACCTAAGATGTGTGGTCCATTAGAGGCAACAACCTCACCTTCCAGTGAATCTCCAGTAATTGGAATTGATTTCTCTCCTTCTTGTTCGTTGGTTGGATAGACACTAACAGCCAAATGAGTGTCAAAATGATTGTTGGTGGGAGATGTTGTACTGGGGATGGAGCTGCTCGGAGTTCGCAATTCATTGTCTTCAGGCACATACGATTCTTCCATTTGATCATTGTCCCCAACAGAAGCACCAATGATTGGTATTTCTTTGTCTTCAACAAGTGGAGTGTCCATGCCTCCATTGCTACCAGAATCAGAAGATTTTTCATCATTTTCATATTTGGTCATTCCAGACTTGGAAACAGTCTTCAAATCTTGTTCCCTTGAAGGTAGCAAACGATCAGATAAAACCAGAGACTGCAACCGGTAGTTCCAGATGAGAGCTTGAAGCACAAGGTCCCACCGCAAGCGGTTTAAGCGGAGCAGTCTATGCGAAACATCATCTATGGTTTTAGCCTTGTCAAACGAGTTCCTGATGCTTTCCTATTTGTAGGCAATAAGGATGTGTCCAAAAAAGTATGAATTATAGATACTAGTAAGCTTGTCTCTAGAACTTAACATAGATAGTTGTATACCATATTCAATTGTTACAAAGCTAACCTCAAATATGCCGCGCTCGTGATTCAGCAACTCCTCAATGTTAGTAAGGAGTTTGTGTGCACACTGGTAGCTGAGCTCTGAATTTTTGAATTGCGATCTTAGTCTCTTCAGAAAACCACCAGCGTCCTCGAACAAGGAGATCCCTTTAGTGAATACCTGAAGAAGGAAATCGAAAAAAATCAGCACAAAACTGATCATCTTGCGTATTGATTTTGCATTTTTAAGGCCAGCCCTCATCTCAAGCAAGACATGCTATTTGGCAGAAAATGTAAACTGAACAAACAGCTGATGATGCCAAATTAAACTGCAATATTTGTCACTACCACAATGTATGATGAATATAGCTGCAACACTATTTACGCAGAGTAGAAACTTACTCCATGAAATTCTTTCTCAAGCCAGCCCGCTTTGATTAAAATGCTAGATACCAGCTTCATGGGTGGCAGGGACACTGTGTAGGATGTGACTTGGGAGTAACTGAGCATAGCAACCATGGAGCCTAATCTGCAGTTGTGTACGATTTTCAAGATACATAATTAAAGATAGTGACAGCTCGCAAAACATCATCCAGGTTACGAAAATCGACATTTTAAAAAAATCTAAGCATTAAACAAATCTTGGTCCCAATTCTCCTAGGATATGTAGATGTCACTATTTCAAAAGCCTATATTATAGAGTAAATGATACTTAATTACTTGGTAAGAACATGTGAAGCTACATGCAGAGCAGTATAGATAGAAGAAAGTTAAGAAACCATACCCAAAGAAGTGAAGGAAGTCCCTGTCGAAAGAGTGTCCGCAGCGAGATGATCTATTCAGAAAAGTCTGCTGAGAAAAACTAAGTTCCAAAAACTTTCCAAATGACAAGCTACGAGCAGCAGTTGATATCAGCACTCGTTTTGTTGATCTCCGAGACCCGTTCTTCTTTTTACACTTCCCACAACGACTCCACATCCAGATTTTTCCCTTTTCCTCACCAGCTAGACATTTTGCTTTAGAAATTCGCTTGATTTGGATTGTTAGTTGCTTATTGTTATGAGCATAATAGTACAAATGTGCTTCCGGAATTTCGTCGCATGTTTGGCATAGGTTTTTCTGCATCATGAACAGTTTCAAAAACAAATTTGAGCTACTAATACATATGAACCTAGGCAAAAGAACAAATCATCATTCTATTTATAAATTGACAAGAGCAACGAAGTCGAACCTGATTAAACATATCGCGCAGGAATCTTTCCAAGGGAACATCAAAGTGCTTGTAAAACTTTATGTGTGAAAAATGCCTTTGGTCACACATTATCCCCCTGAGTGCATTCCTCTTAGACACTAGAACCAATATACTCTGAGGCTCCAATGTGCTCTCAATATCATTCTCCGTTTGCGACCTGTCTCCATCATCTGAACTCGTATTTACTGGTAGTCCAGGATCAAGTAACTCAGCTGGTTTAGTCTCTTCCTTTTCTGCAGTATCTTCCACTGATTCCAATATTGTATCAAGATTGCTGATATTTGATGCATCTGTATCCACAGAAACTGGAACTGACTCCTGATTTTGAACAAAGCCTAAATATTTACTTAGTTTGGCAGACAAAGATGAGAAGCCAGTGAAAATAACTGGATTATATGGCTCGTGAGAGAAGACAGGATCTCCATCTGATTCCCGGGTTTCATCTTTCTCACCATCTGCATCCCCATTTATCTGAATGGATTGTTCATCGAATCCATTAGACAAAGGAATATCAACTGGTTTGAAGGCAGATCCACGAGGAGAAGGAGACAGTGGAAGTTTTTCTATTTCCACAACGCATGATGTAGCTTCCTTTGAAAAGATGGTTGAGAACATTGTATACCGATCAGCAAGGAAAGAAGCCTCCAGCATTAGATGATATGCAAGGATGAATGAATATTGTACTACTTCTTTGACCTTCTTCAACCTATCACTGTGGTATCCTTTAAGTAAAATCTGCCACATATAAAAATGTCAAAGTCAGATAAAAGTCATGGGTAGACCACAAGAAACTCTAAGGTCAACGTCACAAATTCAAATTTTGGAAAAAAAATAGTCAGTTGTACTGATGATACTCAACAATCAATCAAGAACTCACCGTGCAGCCAAGGCGGGTAGGACAACCCTCTAAAAACATGAGCGTTTTAGTTGGCTTCTTCTCAGCTTCACCCGCAGCATTATGCTCCTCGACGATTTTCTCAATGCGAAAGGAATCACAGTGCTTTAACTTCTGACCAGACATAGAGTCAACTGAAAAAATCGGTGAACCAATGCACCGAGAAATTCTCTGTAGACGGTGGAGCTTCATGTCAAACACCAGAGTGACACCTTTATCAAGAATAGACTTTTGGATATCACGTGAAACAGACTTTTCCACCAGCATGACATCAGGCTTAGAAGCTTCTATGATATCAACAACAGGCTTCACATACTTCACTTGATAGCCTTCGTCCTGTTGGCAATAGTCAAAAAGAAATCAGATATTACCAAATGAAAAGCTTTCAAACTGGTGAATGCCAAGTTACGTTGCTCCCCCTTACCTGATTCACTGACTGGAGAGAAGAGAATCCACTTATTGGATGGCCAAGTACTCCTTCGACTAACATTATTTTAGGACGCTCATACTTAGTTGCCATGTGTTTAAGAGCAGCATGTTTTTTGAAAACCAGGCCTTTGAAAACTTGACTGCAAATTGCAAAAGATGAATCAATTATTAGGAGAGTACCAGTAGATGGAAACCAAAGTCTAAGCAAACAATAGGTAAACTGTAATACCTGTCATTGCAAGAACCAGTAGCTATGCATTTCACTTTAATGTACTCAGTCGGATCAACCTGTTTGCCATCACTTGCTGGCTTCAACAGTGAAGCAGCCTCCCAACACAACCTAGCAACTATCTCAAACCAGTACTCACTTTCTTCACTAGTAAACCCACCCGACTTAATAAGTTGACTCACAACAAACTTAAACTTCGAATCAGCCTCTTCGAGCATAACTCTTTGGTTCTCTTCATAAAAGTTTCTCTTTTCACTACTCTCATCTTTACCATCCCCTAACAAACTTGCTTTACTCCACTCAGAACCATCACAACAATCATCATCATCATCAGCAAAAACTCCATCCACTTCATCTTCAGGATTCTCCGGTTCAGGAGGCTCCCAAACTGGAACATCGCTATCATCTTCACGATCCGACAAGAACTGCACATTCTCAACACTGTTTTCTTTCGACTTCTCGTCCAATATGTTTAGAATATCGCTCGGCATACTCTTGGACTTACGCTCTAAACGATCTACCTTATTACACTCCACATCTTCTTGACTACTATGACTTGAACACTCATCTTCATTACCCCTGACAACGATCAACACTAATCTCAACCAACCATATTGTTAAACACCACTACATAAAAAGAGTCATGTTCATTGGTCTTACCTATCATAAGAGCTTCCATCAACAGAACACTCACCTAACAAAAAACAATAACCCAAAAAGATCAACATTTACGGGTTTTTCGACATTTTCGGATTTTCCAGTCACATACAGAACAAGAAAAACCATACCTGAGAGAGAGCGTTCACTACTAGTAGGCGTAGTCATCAATGGAGTCTGAACAACGCCTTGTGTAGTTAACAAACCAATACTACGGTCCACTGGACCAAGAACACGAGAAGTAGCCACCACCTACTTAGTACAAAACCAAAATCAATCATTATATTAAATCTACCAAAAATCACAAATCTTAGAAGGAAAAAAAAAAAGGAAAAGAAAATATCGACCGACGGAGATTATGATCTGATATATCTCAGAGTTTGCCTAAAACATAAAACACAGAAATTTCGGGAGAAGATCTAAAAGATTTTGGAAAATTTTAATAAATCAAATCTCTCTGTAAACACAAAACTCTACTGAAGAACACGAGACAGAAATTAAAAATCGATTTCGGAAAAAAAAAACAATCAAAAAATTGATGTCGTCGGGGAAATCAAAACGGAGAAAGGAAAAAAAAAAGAAGCAGAGAGAGAGAGAGATGAGAATGACTCACGGCGGAAGCAAAAGAGAAGAAGAAGCAGAGATTTTAAGAGGAAGAAGAAGAAGAAGAAGAAGAAACACAAAACATTCACTGTGAAACCAAAAGAGAGAAGAAGAAGAAGGAATTGAAAGCTTTGTGTGTGATTTGGTCTTTGAGAGAGGAAATGAGAGGAAACAAAGTCTCGACGGTGAAGAAGAAGAAGAAGAAGAAAGAAGAGAGACCAAGTTTGTTGTTTTTGAAGACGAAAGGGAAGAATGAGAAGAAAGAAGAGAATATTTATTTTTCATTTTTATTGTATTTTAAAACATGTGGGCTCCACTTCCCTTTTTACTACAAGTTTTTTTTTTCTCTTTGTATTAAAACGATTTTTTATTTTATTGTTTTCTTCAATTGAATAAAATAAAAAACTTGTGAAACATTTTTTTTTATATATTTCTTTTTCGTCTTGACCGTTAAATCTGTTTACATATATCTAAGAAGACACAAAAAAAAAAAAAGAGATGTGTAGTCACATTTTTTTTTTTTATATGAATAGTTGCTCGTTTATTCTATGTTTTTTGACTAAATAGATTTCTTAAATTCAATGGATATACATAGTGTATGTACGTACGATCAACGAAGTAAGATGGCTGATGAAATTGTAAAAAAAAATAGAGTTATAATTTTATTTAAGAAGAAATTAAGTAGTTTAGGATTTTTTTTTTCAAAATATTGAGAATTTCATTTGTATTAAAAATTTTATTTTTCAAAAACTTTGGTATGAGATAAATAACTAATAAAATTAATAATGTAACGCGTTACACGTTTTATGATTTGTACGTATTATCTAAAAACAAAATTTAGTAGTTCATGATTATTGTCTTTCTACTGCATATTCATTTGTATTAACAGTTTTCTTTTTTCAAGAAATTTGGAATGATATATATAAATAACTAATAAAATAACAAGGTAACGCGTTGCTCGTTTTATGATTTGTACGTATTATTTAAAAACAAAATTACACTGCATAGAAGTTCAAATTTACAAGAACTAAATTACTAAATACCAAAAACAAAATAGACGTTAGTCAAGAACCAAGGCGTGATTTTTATGAATGATAAAGCGTTACAAACGTGCAGTCAAACTTATGTGCTCGTTTTATGATTTGTACGTACTATCTAAAAACAAAATTACACTGCATAAAAAGTTCAAAATTACAAGAACTAAATTACTAAATACCAAAAACAAAATAAACGTTAGTCAGGAACCAAGGCGTGATTTTTATGAATGATAAAGCATTACAAACGTGCAGTCAAACTTATGTGAATTTGTACTTTCGAGACAAAGATATTTTATTATTTTATAAAAGTTATCACTAAATTAATAATTTATAAAAATAATTCACTTAATTTTATAAATTCTTGACCAATTACAAATATTATTTTAGAACCAATTACAGGCTAGCAGGAAATCAATTAGCATGTGTAGCAGACAATATCAAAACTTACAATGTGGTAAATATTATAAATGAACTCTAAAAATAATTACTTCAATTTCAAGAACAGAAAAAGAAATAAACAACAATATAGTCATATACACTAAATTTTCTTAAATACATTATATGTAGTTATTATTATATAGTATTTATGACCATATATTCTTAACAATTATAGTCGTATATATTGAAAAAATATAGTGTACGATGTGTCAGTTTATTTATAAAGCACTTTAAGATGAAAATATAAATAAAATAAAAGAGATGATTCAATTAGAAAAGTAGATTATCCCAAACAAAAGATATCTTATGAACTTTTTAGGAAACCTTAGGTTTGATGTTGTAAAGATTGATTTTGGTCCAAATGAGAAAGTGATGGAAAAATGTTTGAGGTGGTTGAAAGAGAGAAACATGGTGGTGGCCTAAGAGAGAAAGACGATGGTTTGAAATGCTTTTCTAATTTGGTAGAAGAGGTGAGACAATGTCTCCCAGTTTATTAAGCAAACATAAAATTACAAAAAACATCCGTGAAATTGAGTATCCAATCGTATCTTCTAATTCAATAAAGCTAACTGATTCTGATTCTAGAGTTGTAACCAAAGAATGAAAACCTAACTGAAGAGTAAACGCATAGTTAGCTAAACTATTTGCAAGAAGATTAGCTTCCTTATACACGTGACCAATACAGACTATACAGACGCTCGAAAGAAGATGGTTTGAAATGCTAGCGAGAAGGAGTTTTGATTTCAATTGTGAGTAAACTTTAACTTTTGGTTTGATTTTCCAACAATTGTAATCTCATGCAATCTTTTTTTTTTTTTTGGTAAAAGGAGGAAGACTAGGTCTCCCATAATTTACTAGAAAGTCTTTAAAATAAAACGAATCTAGGATGCACAAACCCATTAGCATCCTCAAACACAATCGAATTCACAACACCGACAGATAAACCAAACTTACGAAAACCTAAAGGTAAAGAAAACGCATAGTTCGCTAATCTCATGTAATCTTAGTTTAGGGTTTATTGATATGGCAATGGACATGAAGTCAATGGAAGCTGTGTATGTTGCACTAGCCTACATGCTTAGGGGAAGTTATTGGATCATTGATTTTGATGGATTTGAAAATCCAAACAAAAATCCTATGTTATTCAATCATTGATTTTAAAATAACTATCAAAATTATGTGTTATTGGTTGTATGATTTATAAATTCTAGTTAAAATCCTATGTTATTCTTTTAGTGATTTGTTTTTGGATTTTAAAATCCGCAGTATGTTTTAAAGGGATTTGAAAGGATTTGATAGTGTAAAATAGAAGGATTCAAATCCAAGGATAAAACATGTTATTTCAAAATCCATGTATTTCGATTTCATAAATAATAAGGATTCACAAATTCTATGTGGATTTACAAATCCATAAACCAATAATTCCCCCTTAATATAGTTCAACTACTGTTAATTCGAGTTAGGAAACATTTTCAATAACCCCCCCCCCCCTAAATTTTGAAAAAAATAAATAAATACATTTTAATTCTTATAAAATAATTCTACCATAAATATATATAAAAATACTTATAAAATTTCAAGATTATTAAGTTGCCTATGAAATAAAAAAAATTCATTATTGAAAATTACAAATAGAGTATTTTTGCAAAGTATATAAAATTAAGAATTGATCTAGTTTTAAACCCAACATATCATATCATATCATATCATATCACTAAGAGTTTCTAAATTTTCAAAATCTTCATAAGACATTTATTTTGTCTTATAAAGTCATGGCTTAGGCTTTTTGGCTTAATTTCTAGTTCTTAAATCCTGACCATTTTGGCTTTTTTCAATCTTTTGGTGACCATATATGTATATATGATATACATCATATAAAATGGGCCTTGCCAAAAATAGTAAATAATGTATCAATTTATATATTTGCTTTGTTCTCATTTATGGTATTTGTGTATTCTATTTATTGTTTAATCATTTACAATATATATTTATTAAGACATTATGCACTGCAAACTTTTGATTTATTTTTAATAATTCAAATCTTTAAATTTTATATTTGTGAATCGTGATATCTCATATATTCTAGTTTATATATATACAAGAAAACTTTGTACCATCCAAACTCAAAGGATATATGTTATTGAGTATAAGCTATCTCCAATCTCCAATCTCAAAAAACATTTCCCATAACTAGATTCTCCTATTATTAGGGAAACCAATTTTGCAAAATCTTGAACGGAAGTAAATCAGATTTTTAGAAAAAACTAAAGCCAAAACTACTTAAAAATCTAGTAACCATTCAAAGCCTAAATAATCAAAAAAATAAAGGGATCTACAAAATTAAATCGATAAATCCGTAAGCAATATAAACATTATACCTATTAAACCAAATTTTAATTTAAATGTTTCTATGTATCTATATATGAAAAAAAATTATCTTATCGTATATCTATATTATTATAAATTTATAATCAATCACGACATGTATATTATAACAAATACTCACCAACAAAGTTTTATTTTATTGTTCAATCATTCAATCGTTACAATCAATTGTAGAATACATTCAATCATTGATTTAGTGATTCACTGACTTGTGATTAGTGAATAGTATACGTTTTTGAGGACATCAAAACGACCATGAGCCCATTACGAACATAGCCTAGTGATCCATTGAGATCTTACCACGTTAGCTATAGCTTGACTTGGATTGTTTTGAGAATTTGAGAGATCAATGGTTTGAAACGAGAGAAGAAGAACACGACAACCTATTCAACACAACACGTGGCAAACCCATGCTTGTACGTCGTCATTTTTATAGCCTTGGCTTAGTTATTTGATCCGTGTCATAGACGAAACTGCAATATACAAGTAGTTTAGAGTGTACTCTTTTGGTAAACTACGTATAGAAGATTAATTAGTATATGCCAATATCGTTTAAATGGATTTCATTCTTAAATATATAAAGAGATTAGAGAATAAAGAGAGTAGAGGATGTGACTAATAAAGCCTAAAAATATTATTGGATATTTTATGTTACATATATATTGTTAATTTTTAGTAGAAGAGAAATAGTTATTTTTAGCTTAAAATACATTAAAAATGAGAATATTTTTACACGAAAACTATCTTAAATAACAGTTATTATAAATTATATATTTGGAAAATATTTATTACAACAACTTAGTTTGTTAAATATATTATGTTAGTATAGTGATTCATAAAGTGTAATATTGGCTGATATTGAAAATATATATATTTATATCTGATACTGAAAGATCGATGAAATTTGTATATAAAAATGGATAAATACATATTTATGTTGGGTTGAAATTTGAAAATAACATTTTAAATGATTATGTGTTGTTGATGTGAAAACGAGAGTTAAAAAAATTTAATTTGTTTTGATACAATCCAAAAATGTTGGAAATTCATGTTATCAAATTAAAAATAAAAGAAAAATGGAGGCATGTTACCTACCCATCACGCAAATTATATAATTTTTTGTCATAACTAAGTGACAAAACCATTGTCTTTTATTTTCGATCCGTATTATGTATTCAACCAATTTGTTC